ACAATATTTATTCCCCGAAACGATGAAAGAAATAATTTTCTTTTTTTTGTTCTTGAAATGAGGTCAAGAATACCAAAAACGGAAAAAGGGGAAGAATTTAATTGAAGTCACTCTCTCAACCCAATTCCAAACTATTTTCCTTCATTGTATTCCAAAAGTGTGAACCGAGAGTAAAAATAAGATTTCGCGGCGACAAGATCCGATTCTTCTTTCAAAGAGTCGAGTCTTCCAAAATAAACCAAAGGGAGTAAAAAAATTCCCCTTTACAAATTTTTACTTTTTTTCACAAATTCGAAAAGCTAGTTTTTTTCGTATTTAAAAATACAAAATAAAACAATTATCTCTCGATAATTACTTTGTTTTCCTACATTCAGCGATGATCGACAAGTTAAAAGTGTGAGGCAGTTACGTATAAATATGCATTTGGAAACGAGTTGTAAATTCGTAAAGTTGTTTAAAGAATAAAAAAAGAAGAATGGCAATAAAATTACCACTGTATTTTTGCGGAATCATTAAATAACGCACTCGTGCAAACACCCACGTGATAATAATAATAATTGTTCAATGAAGAGAGAATTGAACGCAACACTCGATTTTTTTCTTTTTCTTCTTCTTCTCTTTAATGTAGACGCGTGCCAATATTTTTCAACCTTTGAGAACACACACTTTATTGTTACTCGCGAAAAAAAATTATCATCCTCCTGACCTCCCACATCGATAAACTATACATGAGCCTTCTTCAGAGACGCATTTCCATTCAACGAGGACAAACATTATGAGGGTGCCATAAAATAGATGACATGCTTGAGAACACAAATATTACTCCACAGATATTATTTTTTTTTCTTTTTAACTGGAATTTATGTCGTAAAACAATTCTTCTTTGGCCTTCCACTAATACTTGACAAGAGATTCTAGAAGAAGAAAAAATCAAAATTCAAACATTTTTATTATTTGTCTAATATTATTTATGTGTTGGAACATTTTTTTATTTAGCGATAATAATTCTTAATATTAAGTACAGTATTTTTTATTTTATTTTAATATTAATTATAGTGATAAATAAATAATAAAAAATAGTCTATTTTCAATAATTTCAAATTTAATAAAATTTAGTAATGATTGCAAACAAAAATTGAGAAAAGAAAATTTTCAGCTATGGATTATTTTTAATCACAAAGAGAAGGTATTCTTTTATTTTGGAATTTTGTACTTTTGTTAAGTGAGAAAATATTTAAAGCCAAGATTTAACTAAATTATTACAATTTAAATTCAATTATTGAATTTTTATTTCGAGTTCAATAAATTTTTGTTTATTTTCACAGAATTGGCACCCAGGAATTTTTTTAAATTAATAATTAACAAAGAAAATATTTTTTTTATTTGAAATTTGTTCATTTTAGAGATTTATGTGGTGGGAGAATATTAAAGCGAAATTTTCATTAATTAATGCAATTAAATTACAATTATGGAATTTTAATTTCAAATTCAAGAAAATTTTGTTATTTTGCAAAAAAAAAATTTCATAGAGGAATTTTTTTAACTACCAAAAAAAGTATTTTTCTAATTTTTTATACAAAGATTTTATTTTTGAATTTTTTACAAAAAAAAATATCCAGCGAAAAATTTGTTTTTAATTATCAAAAAAGTATTTTTTTTATTTAAGAAGAATTTTTCGATTGTGAAAATTTGTGACATTAGAATATATTCAGAGCAAAATTTTATTAAATTAAAAAAATGGAAATTTAATTATCGAATTCTAATTTCGCATTTAGACAATTTTTACAGAAAAAAAATTATCAGCGAAGAAACTTTGTTGAATAACAACGAAAGTTTTTTTTAAATTCTTTTAAGTTAAAGAAAATTTTTTCTTCTTCATTTTGAAAATTTGTAAGGTGAGAGAATAATTAGAGCAAAATTTTATTCTGAGCAAATACAGATGGGAGACACCTGATTATTCAAGTGAAAGAAGAGTGAGAAATGAATACAAAGTGCAGGTATTGAATGAACGATGAATCGTTGGACATAATCAACGAAATCTTCAACAATAATAAAGGCTCTGATCTAAGATCCCTGAATACGTAAGCACCTATCATTAAAAGTCGAATTAAAAAGATGTATTCAGAAGGCGCACGCCACGTCTTCAGGGTATAAACATACGTGTCTACTTGTCTTCCAACGGGACAACTTTGGAAAAAAAGAAATACCTCAAACTTCCGCGTCGTTTCTTTATTCAAAATGAAGAAGAAGAAGAATAAGAAGAATATTCTTTGTTGCTAGTTGAGTACTAAAAATTCTCTCGCACTGATATTGAATTAAATGGAATAAAAAAAAATAAAAAGAGATTTTAAAAAATAAAAAGGAGTAAGAAATGAAAGAAATAAAAAATAAAGAAGAAAATAAGTTTTAAGAATAAAAAAAATTGAAAAATGAAAATTTTCTCAATTGAATACAAATAAATATGTGACGCGTTCCCAAGAAAGGTACCTAAGAAGGAAAAAATTTGAGGTTATGTTTTAAATTTTTTGAGTAAAAATACAGAAAGAGAATCAATTATTAATTAAAAATTGTTGGTTTTCAAGTTTTTATTATATTCAAAATATTCAATTAATATTGGTTTAAAATTCAAATAATTAAAAATGAACTTTTAATCAAGATAAATCTAACTCGAACCCAACCTATAATTCGTTTGCTTCTTATAGGTACCTTTCTTCGGGTCGCGTCACATATTTCTAAAACGAAAAGTGGATCGAAAAAAATAAAAATAGAATAAAGAATAAAAAGAAAAATGCCAATATAAAAAAGGAAAAAATAAAAGAGGAATAAAAAGGTCTCAAGAATAAGAAAAATTGAATACTTAGATAAATATTTCGAAAAACAAAAAAGTGGAGAGAAAATTTCTCATATAGATTGATTTAAAGAAGACATCCTCTCTTTCGACCGGTAATCAAGAAAAATAATCAACTTCTCAAGGTTTCATTTCTGCAAGGACGTTACACGCATGACGTATCATGTGCGTGTAATTTACGTGGGAGGAGAATGATTCGAGTCTGTAATAAAGTCAATGATCTTGCGAGTGAAATGACAGTGTTTATAAAATCCCGAAGGGGAAACAAAAAAACCAGGCCAATGGTTTGTTCGACTTTTCATTTTCAAGACGCATTTTTATCCTTTTCTTTAAAAAAAAGAAGAAAATACAAAAATGTCACTCATTTTTTCTTTCTATTGAAAATAAAGAAATAAAATACCTAAAATTAGAGAATAGAGAATAAAAAATAGAAATGTAAAAATAGAAAATAAAATAAAACGAAATAATCTCGAAAAAGAAAATATTTTTGTACGAAAAAATTCAATTTCTGATTATTGAAAATGAATTTTAGAATAACCCATAAAGAAAAAAATTGGAAGATAAATGATGAAGATATTCGACCGACCATTAAAAGGAAGAAAAAGAAGAAGAGCAAAATTGTAGTTTGTAATCCTATTCACCCTGTGAAAGTTATCGTAAACCCTTCTTCGCATTTTTTTCTCCTCTCTTGCAGATTTGAAGAACGCACTTTGTGCAGCATGGGTCGCAAGGTCATCATGATGTCTGCGATATAGTGGGTGGTGCTAAAAGATACGCATTGTTATGAGGTTTTCTGGGTGCGGTAACTTACGCTTGGACACAATTTTAAACTGATGGAGAACGACCTCAAGGCTGTATCAAAGATCCCTATCGATGAAAGTAGAAAAGAACGTCCTTGAATTTCCAACTCTATTATTTGCATCAAGGAGAATTTTTTCCCTTTTTTTCTTACATTATTATACTATTTCATATGCACTAGAATTACAAAATGATTACAGTAGTTCAATATCTTTACAGTATTCTTCGGAATATAAAAAGTATAGAAAAGTAATTCTGTTCTAATAAATTGTAGTCGCATTGCAGTTAGACAGTTATGCAGGAAAAATTGCAAACGGTTCCAAAATTGAGTAACAAAAGGTAGAAAAATGCAAAAGTTTTTACTCTCTGTTTTTTCTCCCCTTTACTCTTTACTTTGACTATTTTAATTTTTATGAGTTTACTTTTGGACCAAGTTAATAAATGTAATTTAATTTTAGACGAAATTAATAAATTAAAAATAAGAAACAAAATGTCACTGAATTTGGCGTCGACGCTCAAATTTGAAAACTATTATTTGGGGTTTTTAGAGATTAAAATGTCATTGATTTCCATTCTTTCATTCACCTAGGGAGTTAAAAGAATGTTCAGAGCATTCTCTCATGTCTCAAAAGTTGTGAACGTGAATTATAAATTAAATTTAATGATTCATTTTAATTATTATTATCAATAAAATCAATTAATTAAGTGAAATTAATTATTTCTTTATCAAATTCAAATTTTATTACAATAACACTGAGTCACGAATTTAAACTTAATTTAGTTTCAAAATTTTAAATTTGTTTTTAATTTTTATTTCAGTGAGCAATTTATTTATGAAAATATTTATTAAAATATTTATAAAAAAATAATTTTTTTCAAAGTAGCAATAAAAGCTATAATTAAGAACTAATAAAACTAAAAAAAACTAAAAAATCAGTGTCAAAATAAAAAAATAAACAAAAAATATAAAAAATAAAAAAAGAAATAATTGGGAAAATATAATAAAGAATTAATAAAACTAATAAATCAGTTTTAAAATAAAAAAATAAGCAAAAAATAAACAAAAAATAAAAAAAAGAAATAAATGAAAAAATACGAGAAGAAATTACAGCCTTATGAAGCATTATTAAGAAACATTAAATGATATTTATGTTCTCAACGAGAGTATTTCTGGATTATTATGAACTATTATGGTAAACTATAAATATGATTATTTAACATTGCGAAGCAAGTGAAAGTTATAATTTCACTCACGCGCTTATTAGGAGATTAATTAAAGAATTTATAATTCGCTCTCATATCCATAAGAAAATGAATTGAATTATAAAATATTAATCGTAAATCAACAACTTACTTGCTCACGTCTCCAGTTTCTTTATCAACATCGGAAGTTGATTCTTCTAAGGAAAGCCTTCGTCTCGATCGAGGTTGTAATGTCGCTTCCACCCTAAAGAGACCGGAAACGTAGTCTGTTGATTTCTTGAGCTCAGTTACGGGAACTGAAAATAATTATAAAAATTAATTATCATTGCAATAAGAATATTTTAGAATTTAAAAAACAACATTTCTCTTACGTAAATTTAATGAAGGCAAAATTAATAAAATTAAAATATTTTTTTAAAAGAATAAATCAATTAATTAAATAATTCAGAAATTATTTTATCAATTTATTATTTACTTATTGGAAAATATTATTCACTAGTTTATTCAATTTTTGTTTACTTTAATTAATTTATCAATTATTTTTATTATTTTTATTCATAAATTATTTTTGTTATTTTTATTTCTATTTTTTTTATTATTTTTGTTTACACATTATTTTCATTATTCTTATTTATAATTTTAATTTGATTTTGTACAAAAATACATTTTTAGTAACAAATTATTTTTAATTTCAATTTTCAAAATTTCATGTTGAAAAATAAGGTAAAAAAAATATTATTAAAAAAAATATGCAAAAAAATACTTGATTGTAAAATAAATATTAAAAATTAAATTAATTTACTTGAATAAGAAGAAAAAAATGGAAATATTAATTTTTTCCCCTTAAAATTCATTTTCGAGAAAATGATCAATAGTAAATCAATTTGTATGATCGATTCACGTTGAAACTTGTTATTAGCCGTTACTGTAATTATATACCTTATGCTATAGTGAATTTTTCTTTTCTTCCGGAAACCTTAATATGATAAGAGGCGCGTGCGTGTTCATCCAATATTACAAACAATGAAGTATAATTGAATAATGCTCCCTTACTACTGATTGGGTTAGTGTTTATTAAAATAAAGGGTCACTGCTCTTTGTTCCACTCAAAGAATTTTACATTTTAAATCCCTTGTTCACTTTCAAAAAAAAAAATATTCATACGTTTTATATAATTTTCATAGTTTTTACATAAAAACGTTTTTTATTTTTTTCAAAAAAAAAAAAAAATTGTCAAAATAAAAATTTAGAAGAAAGATGAAAGATTATTGAAAATACAAGAAATTATTAATGATGTAAAATTCAGGGAGAGAAGAGAATTTCATGATAAAGTAATTAAGGAAAATTAAAACTCATTAGCGTTTGTTGAAGGAAAAAATAGGACGCGAAGTGAATCAGACAATTTATGCTCTTTGGAATGATTCATTTATTATGGAATGTGTTGTGTAATGTTACGTTATTTGTCGGGGGGAGGGAAGGGGGATTTGTGTGACAGACAAGATATACACTATTGTTCGTGAATTCAAGTCGAAACGAAGCCAAAGAAAGGCTCGAGTCAACAACCGACCCCTATAACTTCAGCTAGTTAGCTTTTATGGGTTTCCCGAGGATAATGAAAGTTGATGGCAAAGAAAGCAATAACAATCTATCTTACTTATTTTATATAGAAAAAAATAATCTATTTAACATTTTTTTTAAGATCTTTTTTCTGTTCTTTTCCAAACGTTTTTCAATTATTTTTCAAATTTTTATTCAATTCTTTTCTAAAATTTTTGTAAATTTTTTATTCAATTTTTCTCAAATTATGTTTAAAGTTTTTCAAGTTTTTTTCATTTTCTAAAAGTTTTGTCACAACCCGTGTGGAAAAGTGGTGTTGGCCCACGCCGGGGGCCCGCATGGATCGCCCACATCCATGAGGGGCCTACGTGGGTGATCCAGGCGAGGCCCCTCATGGAAACGACATGCTGATCGATGAGGGCGCCCGCATGGGCGATCCACGCGGGCGCCCTCGTCGGCCCCCGGCGTGGCCCTCGCTTTACCCTCATCTTTGCCCTCGACTTACCCTCACCTTTATTTTTCAAAATTAAGTTAATAAATTAATTATTTATTAATAATAAACAAGTTCAACTATTAATAAATAACATTGTTATTTAACGATTTTTACTTTTTTTAATTAAATCGTCACAAAAAAAAAAAAATTCTGACGCACGCGGGTACAAAACCTACGACCTACGGACTATCAGACAAACACTTTACCACTGTGCTAAGGGACCTACTTGAAATTTATTTCTTTATAGTAGGTCACTAGCTGACTTTCTTTTGATGATTCAATAAAACATTGTTGACACTAATACACCATAACAAAAAAACGTGTTTTTCATTGTTTAAAATCATTATAATCATTTATTTTTGTTATGTAAAAAAATATTTTTTGTTTGGACTTAGAAATTTTTGCAAGTCAATGATGTGGGCGATCCATGCAGGCCCCTCGCGTGGGCCCTCAAGGATTCGCCCTCATGTGAGTGTTATATTTTTTTAAAAGTAACATTAAATATTTGTTAAAAACGTGTTTTTCATTGTTTAAAATCATTATAAACATTAATTTTTTGTTGTACAAAAAATTGTTTTTTTTTGACTTAGAAATTTTTGCTGGTAAATGATGTGGGCGATCCATGCGGGCCCCCCGCGTGGGCCCTCAAGGATTTGCCCTCATGTAAGTTCAATATTTTCAAAAAAAATGTCAAAACATTTCTGTTAAAAACGCGTTTTTTTATTGTTTAAAATCATTATAAACATTAATTTTTTGTTGTACAAAAAATTGTTTTTTTGGACTTAGAAATTTTTGCTGGTAAATGATGTGGGTGATCCATGCGGGCCCCTCGTGTGGGCCCTCAAGGATTTGCCCCCATGTGAGTTCAATATTTTCAAAAAAATGTAAATAATTTTATGTGAAATATGTGTTTTTCATTGTTTATAATCATTCTAAACATTAATTTTGAAGTAATAAAAAATGATTTGAGGTTTGGACTTAGAAATTTTTGCAAGTCAATGATGTGGGCAATCCATGCGGGCCCTCGGCGTGGCCCTCATGGATTTGCCCACATGGATCAGCCCTCGTCGGCCCCCGCCGGGGCCTCTCGCGTCGTGTGGGCTTCATGGGGGCTTTTTCCACACGGGAAGTTTTTTTTTAAATTTTAAAATTTTTCTTTAATTTTGTTTCGAATTTTTCAATTTCCTTTAATTTTTTCAATTTTCTTTAAAATATGTTTCAAATTTGTCAAGTTTTTTTATTTTTTTAATTTTCTTTAAATTTTGTTTCAAATTTCTCAAGTTTTCATTATCTTTTTGCAAAAAATAATTTCTACACGAATCGAATCTACACAGTATAGAACATTTTTTTAGACGAATTTTTACTGCAGACAATTCACCAAAATAATAAAGTTTTTGATTAATATAATTAAACGAAACTAAATCTGCAGAACTTTTATTCTTTCTAAAAATTCTTTTAATTCATAAAAATTTGTTTAGCTGAATTACATATCTTCGTTTCTTTTATAATTGAGCAGACTTTCTATTAATAGAATTTTTCTACGAGTTTTTGTTAACAGAATGTTTGTTTCGATTTTTCATTTTCTAAATTTCAATTAAATTGAATTTTTATTGAGAACATTTCCTCATAGTAGAATCTTCATTTAGCTAAATCTCTAATGAATAGAATTCTAATTCAACGAACTTTTCAATTATCTAAATTTTCATTCTGTTATTGAATAATAATTTCGTTGAATTATTGAACGAGATTTTTGAAACAGAAGTGTAATCATTTCCACAAAATTCAAAATGGAAAAAAGTAAAAAAATTTTAAAATGTAGTTTTAAGGAGAATCCTTGGGGAAATGATTCTTTTTTGAGAGAAAATTGAAAAAAGTGTAATAATAATAATAATAAAAAAATGTTTGTGAGATAAATCTTACCAAGAATTGGCACAAGTTTATCATTCGGACTGAGTTGACTAGCGAGTTCCCTGCTAAGTTCCTCGCACTCAATTTCCTCGGGTAGCTTTTTCCTTGGCTCAGGAAGAATTTCCTTCATTTTAAAGCGTTCCTCGAGATCATCAATAATTTCCGTTTGCGATGCAGCATCAATGGTCGTTGCATTCACACGTAAAACAATTTCCGTTCTTTGAACCAAGGTCAAACCCTCAATTCCGGGTTGCGGCGAAACACACGGCGAGTCCTGAGTCGGAGAATTTCTCGTCGACGACGACGACAACGATGTGCTCGACGACGACGACACCGTTGAACCATTGTGAATTCTCAACGATCTCGAACTCGACGATCGTCTAGCGAGATATTCCGTTCGCCGAATACGCGAGGAACTAATCGGCGAATTTGTTGTCTTGTCCCAATTATTATCGGTCTGCGTTGGACTCGAGACTTTTCTACCCAGCGATAGTGTTTCGCTCGGTGAATCGAGGGGCGATTGTGTTTTTGGTGAAAATCTCGATGGCAGTGTACTGGGCGATATTCTCAGGTCCGAGGATCGCGACGATGAACCGGAACTCGAGCAACTTCCAGTTCTTCTTGGAACGGCGCCTCGCAGTGATGTTGAGTTCGGTGACCTTGGCGGTGAACTGGATGGTGGCGGTGGTTTCTCACAGGGCCTGGTATCAATGTCATTGATCTGACAATTTCTCGACCAATTGTTCTCACTGTTGGTGTGGGTGGACATTGATCTTCTTTCAATGCCCGCATTCCTGCGGTTGAGAAGTTCGACATTCTGTGAAGTCATTTCGATTGTTGCACTTCTTTCGCGATAAAAATCGACTGCTGTTGTTGTTGTTGTTGTCGTCGTTGCTGTTGTTTCACAATTGGCGGCAAGTTTTCGTCGTTCACGTTCCAATTGGCGATTACGATCGTTGAGGACCTCGATACTTTGGGGTGAGAGTCGTTCCTTTTTTTCGGTGTGATAGCCGAGACGTAGATCGTCGATATTGTCGATGTTATTGTTCTCGGTTCTCGTCAATCGGGTTTCGTTGGTTTGTAGCTTTTTTGTGAGATCTTTTGAAATCAATTCGGTTGAATGATTATTTTGACGGTCGTTGTCTATTCGTTGGTGAAGGGCGTCGACACTATGTGATTTTGAGAGATCGTGATGTTGTTGTTGCTGCTGTTGTTGGTGGTGATTATGATGTTGATGGAGAGAATGAGGATGATGTGGAGTCACTCGCAAGAGAACCGGATCGTCACGATCGCGGGGCCAATCGTCTAATCGTGCCGTTGGCGACATTGTTCTTTTGTAGCTGCCCTCGTTGTCAGGAACACCTCTCTCCCGACGATACGCCAGGTAAGATGCCTTTGATTGGCTTCTGTAAATGCAAAAAAATCCTTATTAGCATTTTTTAAATTTTAATTCTAAATATACTTTTTTAGATTTACTGTTTTTTCAGGCTTCGTACTCATCTACTAAAACTCACTATTTACTACTTTTTTTACGTTATGCTACTATTTATGTTTTTTTTGAGAATTTCCACTACTATTCTCAAAAATTATAATCAAATTCTTTAAAACGATTCAATTATTTTCAAAAAATATTCGAAATTCAATTATTTTCAATATCTGATATTTTCATTAAATTTTGCAAAAATTAAATTTATTAATTAATTAAATTTTGCAATTACTTAAAAAAAATTAATAAAATTCAATTATTTTCATAAATAATAAAATTTCCACAGGAATTCAATTAATTTAGAATAGCATTTTCGGTGAAAAATTTTGTTATTTTTAAAAATAACGGAGTGCCTATTCCTACGTTAACGTAATCGTTCTTTCAAAACTAAACCTACGCGAAATGGAAAATAATTTTGAAAAACGACGCCCGTCGCGCTAGTGTCTCCATCAAGGTCATCTAGCAGACGGACTATGCGAAACAAGCGAACCTGCAAACGAAACCAAACAAAAATAACCAACGTGCTTCAAGGAGAAAGTGCCGGCTTTTACGCTATGTCAGAATGAAATGAGTTAATTATAATTATTAAATAGTTATTAAATTTTGAGTGAAGTGCAATACGAGGTGCAATATTCTTCGTAAAATTTTGTTCACATTGGTAAGTATTGACGCAAAGCTTTTATATTTTTTATCAATGTATCAATCTGACCTGTGCAAACACGTTTTGTAAAAAGCGTTTGTAAAACACCAAGTTATTGAAGTCCACAACGTTGATCAACGAAAGAGACATTAAAAAAAACATAGATAACACAGCAATATTACTACAAAAATATTTAGAAAAAAAATTGATGTTTATGTTTAGATGATAATTGTTGTACGCAATTAAATATTAAATTATAATTGAATGAATTAAATACATTTTTTTCGTTGATCAACGTTGTAGAATTCAACTTAATTTGTAAAACTAATATTTTATTAGAAGTATATTTTGCGAAAAGCCTGTGTTTAATCTGCCACAAGATATGTCAAGATATTTTTTTCAATGTTTATGTTTCAAATTTACTAAATTAATTTTCAATATAATTCTCAGGGCACAATTGTTTTGATATTTTAACCTTTACGAATCAAGTCTGTGTTTCTTTTTTGATATTAAATTATTATTATTATTTTGAATTAAATTCTTAACATATAACACGGAAAAAATATGTGTGATGAAATATAAGTTTATTATATTCAGATTATCAGTAAATTCAGGGAAATTTCAGTAATTTTTTTTTACTTATTTTCAAAATTTGCGACTTTCTCAATTGTTTTTTCAAATATTGCAACAAAATATCATATTTATTAGTATTTTAATGTAATTCATTTTAGTTTTTATAGTGTGACAAATAACTGTTAACTGTTCAGTAATTATATTTTCAGAGAAATGGCTTCAACATTTGAAAAAGGCACCGTTTTTCAAAATTATGAAGAGTTTGAACAAGCTCTCCAAATTTTTGAAGAAAAAGAGAGACAAAAATTTTCAAAAAGGAGTAGCAGAACTGTTGAGGCAGCCCGAAAATTTTTAAAAAAGCCACTCAATCCTCAAATTAAATATTACGAGCTGCATTTGGCGTGCATAGCAGGCGGTGTTCCTTTTGCATCGACGAGCAAGGGATTAAGAGACAAAGGGTAACTTAATTCTTTGTTTTATTTAACGTACCTTAAATTTAAACTTGAGTTAATATTAGATTGATTAGAAATTAAAGTATATATTATTCAGTAGTCACGTGCCCTCATAGGCACGTTATTGCTGGATAATATGATTTCAAGTTTGTTCATGACACGTTCATGATTTTCATTTTGCAGAACTATGAAAGTGGATTGCCCGGCACATATTCAACTACGTGCATCGGAAGATGGTAATAAACTTGTTATTACCAGTCTAAATATGGATCACAGCACCCAGGTGCGAATTTTGGTCGGCCGCCAGAGTTGGAAGGTCGGGCGCAGGTCGGCCCATCTATGGCTGCCAATAGGTCGGCAGCCAAAGTCGGGCCGACTTTGGTTACTGTTTCCACCCAAGTTTGGGCCGACTATGGGTGCCAAAGTTTAGAGAACCTAATTTTAGTTGGTCGGGCCGACTCTGGCCTCAGTCGGGCCGATGGTCGGTAAAACTATGGCAGCCAGAGTTTAGAGAACCTAATTTTAGTTGGTCGGGCCGACTCTGGCCTGAGTCGGGCCGATGGTCGGTAAAACTATGGCAGCCAGAGTTTAAAAAACCTAATTTCAATTGGTCGGGCCGACTCTGGCCTGAGTCGGGCCGATGGTCGGTAAAACTATGGCAGCCAGAGTTTAAAAAACCTAATTTCAATTGGTCGGGCCGACTCTGGCCTGAGTCGGGCCGACGGTCGGTAAAACTATGTCAGCCAGAGTGCAAAAAACCTAATTTCACTTGGTCGGGCCGACTTTGGCCAGAGTCGGGCCGATGGTCGGTAAAACTATGTCAGCCAGAGTGCAAAAAACCTAATTTCACTTGGTCGGGCCGACTCTGGCCTGAGTCGGGCCGACGGTCGGTAAAACTATGGCAGCCAGAGTTTAGAGAACCTAATTTTAGTTGGTCGGGCCGACTCTGGCCTGAGTCGGGCCGATGGTGGGTTAAACTATGGCAGCCAGAGTTTAAAAAACCTAATTTCAATTGGTCGGGCCGACTCTGGCCTGAGTCGGGCCGACGGTCGGTAAAACTATGTCAGCCAGAGTGCAAAAAACCTAATTTCACTTGGTCGGGCCGACTTTGGCCAGAGTCGGGCCGATGGTCGGTAAAACTATGTCAGCCAGAGTGCAAAAAACCTAATTTCACTTGGTCGGGCCGACTCTGGCCTGAGTCGGGCCGACGGTCGGTAAAACTATGGCAGCCAGAGTTTAGAGAACCTAATTTTAGTTGGTCGGGCCGACTCTGGCCTGAGTCGGGCCGATGGTGGGTTAAACTATGGCAGCCAGAGTTTAAAAAACCTAATTTCAATTGGTCGGGCCGACTCTGGCCTGAGTCGGGCCGACGGTCGGTAAAACTATGGCAGCCAGAGTTTAGAGAACCTAATTTTAGTTGGTCGGGCCGACTCTGGCCTGAGTCGGGCCGATGGTGGGTTAAACTATGTCAGCCAGAGTGCAAAAAACCTAATTTCACTTGGTCGGGCCGACTTTGGCCAGAGTCGGGCCAATGGTCGGTAAAACTATGTCAGCCAGAGTGCAAAAAACCTAATTTCACTTGGTCGGGCCGACTCTGGCCTGAGTCGGGCCGACGGTCGGTAAAACTATGGCAGCCAGAGTTTAGAGAACCTAATTTTAGTTGGTCGGGCCGACTCTGGCCTGAGTCGGGCCGATGGTGGGTTAAACTATGGCAGCCAGAGTTTAAAAAACCTAATTTCAATTGGTCGGGCCGACTCTGGCCTGAGTCGGGCCGACGGTCGGTAAAACTATGGCAGCCAGAGTGCAAAAAACCTAATTTCAATTGGTCGGGCCGACTCTGGCCTGAGTCGGGCCGACGGTCGGTAAAACTATGGCAGCCAGAGTGCAAAAAACCTAATTTCACTTGGTCGGGCCGACTTTGGCCAGAGTCGGGCCGATGGTCGGTAAAACTATGTCAGCCAGAGTGCAAAAAACCTAATTTCACTTGGTCGGGCCGACTCTGGCCTGAGTCGGGCCGATGGTCGGTAAAACTATGGCAGCCAGAGTTTAAAAAACCTAATTTCAATTGGTCGGGCCGACTCTGGCCTGAGTCGGGCCGACGGTCGGTAAAACTATGTCAGCCAGAGTGCAAAAAACCTAATTTCACTTGGTCGGGCCGACTTTGGCCAGAGTCGGGCCGATGGTCGGTAAAACTATGTCAGCCAGAGTGCAAAAAACCTAATTTCACTTGGTCGGGCCGACTCTGGCCTGAGTCGGGCCGACGGTCGGTAAAACTATGGCAGCCAGAGTTTAGAGAACCTAATTTTAGTTGGTCGGGCCGACTCTGGCCTGAGTCGGGCCGATGGTGGGTTAAACTATGGCAGCCAGAGTTTAAAAAACCTAATTTCAATTGGTCGGGCCGACTCTGGCCTGAGTCGGGCCGACGGTCGGTAAAACTATGGCAGCCAGAGTTTAGAGAACCTAATTTTAGTTGGTCGGGCCGACTCTGGCCTGAGTCGGGCCGATGGTGGGTTAAACTATGGCAGCCAGAGTTTAAAAAACCTAATTTCAATTGGTCGGGCCGACTCTGGCCTGAGTCGGGCCGACGGTCGGTAAAACTATGGCAGCCAGAGTGCAAAAAACCTAATTTCACTTGGTCGGGCCGACTTTGGCCAGAGTCGGGCCGATGGTCAGTTTGAAGTTGCAGCTTATAAAATCATTTTTGTTCTTAGGCTTTCATGTAAGCGTAGCGTAATGGTTAGCGTGTTAGACTTCGGTGCGTTAGGCTGCGAGTTCGATTCCTGCGAGCGTTAGAAATTTTAATTTGTATTTATGTGTAAGATTGCGTTTAGTGTTAAGATGTATACAATAAACAAATAAATAATGAATAATAATAATTAATAATAATAATAAATAATTAATAATTTTTTGCAATCGGTCGGCCGACTTTTGGCTGCCAAGGTCGGCACGACCAAGGTTGCCAAAGTGAATCCGACCTTCTTTCTCATGGTCGGCAAAGCTTTGGCACCCCTGGTCGGCCCGACTTTGGCAACCATAGTCGGCACGACCATGTCAGCCACTGGACGGCGGGTGTTACAATTCGCTAGTTCGGCCGACCTTTGGCTGCCAAGGTCGGCACGACCATGGTTGCCAAAGTCAAGCCGACATTCTTTCACATGGTTGGCAAAACTTTGGCACCCCTGGTCGGTCCGACTTTGGCAGCCATAGTCGGCCCGACCATGTCAGCCACTGGACGGCGGGTGTTACAATTCGCTA